TCATTCATTCATTGAGTCTCAAAGGTGCTGTAAGATCTCTCTAGCTGCACAACTTGGCAGTAGGAAGAAGGGGCCAAAATTAAAATAAAAACTACTTCAGGTGGCAGATAGGTTTAAGTTCAAAATTAATTAATTAATTATATTAATTACATTGATTATTATTAATATTAATTCCATCCTCCCCCTCCTCCAACAGGCCTTTTCCTCAGGAGAAAGCCAAGCAGCGGAGGAGCCTTGTAGGGCAAGTATTTGCCCGGGGTCCTGCGCTGCAGCCACCTCTGCCTGGCCTCCTCCTCTTCCTCCTCAGGAGGCTGGACTGGATGGCCCTTGTGGTCTCTTCCAACTCTATAATTCTATGATCCTCAGGAGAAACGGTGGAAGAGCTTTGCCCAGCAATCATTTGCCCATCCTCCTCCTCCTCCTCCTCTGCTGCCTGGCTTTTCTTCAGGAGAAAGCCAAACAGCGGAGGAGCCTTGAAGTTGTTCCACATCCTTGCAGGCCACCCAAAATCCTTTGGCGGGCCACATATGGCCCTGGGCCATATGCTGTGCAGGCCTGCTCTAGGTATTGAGTCCACAGACTAACACAGCTATGGGGTTTTTCTCACCCAGGGGACAACTGGAAGTATAAAATTTGACTTGCCCCAGATCACCCCAGTGGGTTTTCTTGGCAACCCTTATCATGGGGTTTGCTTGGCGAGATTTGTTCAGAGGAGGCTTGCCATTGCCTTCTTATGAGTTTGCCCAAGATCATCCAGTGGGCTTCCTTGGCCAAGCAGGATTTGAACCCTGGTTTCCGGAGCCATAGTCCAACACTCAAACCACAATGCTGCGCTGGCTCTCTCAGGGACATAAATTGGTCCTGACCATTGTTGCCTCCTCCTTCTCAGTCATGCTGCCTATGACTTAACTTAAAGTTTCCAAAATGCTGTTTTAATGCAGTCTCATGCACATTAGTGAAAAGCACGCTTCTTTAAAATGGCTGGCGGGTGGTCAAATTAACCCTAACATGCCCATTCATCTAGAACTTACCTTCTAGGTTTATGTGCTAAAATAGCAAATGTGCTATTTTAACTAGGTTTCTGTGTCGTGTATTTTTATCCGTTTCCAAAGTCAAAGCCAGCTGGTCATAGCCATAAAACTCGGCACAATCAAAGAGAGATTATGAGGTTATACAATAATGGGAGAAAGCCGGTGTGGCATAGTGGTTTGAGCGTTGCATTATGACTCTAGAGAGCAGGGTTCGAATCCATGCCCACCGGGCGAGCTCGGGCAAGTCACACTCTCAGCCTCAGAGGATGGCCATGGCAAATCCCCTCTGATGTAACTTGCCAAGGAACCCCCATGATAGGATTGCCACAAGTCAGAAACAACTTGAAGGTGGGCAACAAGAATAAGACTGGACATACAGACTGAGAGGAAGGAGGTATTGTCAGTTTCAACACAGACATAGGAAATCATCACACAGAGGCAAATGGGTTAAATCCCATGCAGAAACGGGATTTAAAAATCTGGGGGGGGAAACCCGCAAAAGCGGGTAGTTTTTCAGACATATTTGTGTAAAGGAGAAATAAAGCAACATTAACCCGGATGGAAAGTCGCCAAAACCCATTCTTTTTTACCTTCAGAAGTTCCCAAAAGTAAAACGAAGCGGGTTTTGGCAACTTTCCATTTGGATTAATCTTGCGTTATTTCTCCTTGACGCCAACATCATGTGAAAAACAACCCGCTTATATGGGTTATTTCCAGTTTCTGTTCAGGATAACCCCGAACATTGTGTGAAAAACAACCCACTTTTGTGGGCTGATTTTACTTTAAATCCAGTTTCTGCATGGGATCTGTCCCATGTAATAAAATCCATAAATCTCACACAAAGCAAGAGCGAAGCTGAAGTAAAGGCAAGCTACAATCTTTTTAAAACAACAACAATGCAGCATTGGTGATGCTTTGCCTGGGAAAGTGGCATAAAAATATTTTAAAGAAACTTCACTTGTACACTTATAGGTTCTGTAAATTGCAGTGAGACTTCAGGAACCATTAGTACAGTTTTCAATACAAAATGGAATGCTTATAAACATTTCATCTGCCCAAAAGTGTATGAGTGAGATAAAGGTTCTGGAAGGAACCAAGGAGCATTGTTAAAGCCAAAGCGGTATGATAAACATGATGTGAATTACATATATGGGAGAAAATTATTTCGGAATTGGCTTAAAATTGTGAAAGAGGCTTCTCTTCTGAGTATTGTACCCATACAAGTTGCAATTCAGTGGAGTGGTCTTGGCTAGACTTTATGGCTATGAGGATAAAGGAAGGATCAGGGTGAACAGATGTCACAACTGCAAAGGAGGACAAGGCACTACAAAATGTAGGACACTTGAGAAATATATAGAGCATTACCAAATAAAAGCTAAATACATTAATAGAAATGGAATTCAAATGTTAAGGTATACTGCTTAGACATGCTCAGAATGGAGGGCATTTTGGAATTCCTGGCCAGAAGGTTGAAATGTAGGACATGCCCTGGAAAAGGAGGATGTCTGGTCACCCTGGGAGGGATAGCCTGTTTCTAGAAAGGCAGAGCACACACTCTTCAAATGGAGGAGAGAAAAAGTTGACAAAAATGGAACAGGAACTTTGTTGATGCTTGCCATTTGAAAAGATTGTGTGAATGTTATTGACTATATAAGGAGACCTAAATACCCTAAAGCCAGCAGATCCCATCTGATCTTGGAAGCTAAGCAGCATTGCCCTTGGTTAGTACTTGGATGGGAGACCACTGATGAATATCAGGTGCTGTAGGATATATTTCAGAGGAAGGAGCTGACAAAGCCACCTCTGCATATTCTTGTCTGAGCAAACCCTGTAAAATTTATGGGGTCACCATAAGTCAACGGATGACTTGAAGGCACCTATATACTTATGTATATTGTATATTTAGGGAGAGAGACTTTGGGCAATACGGACCGATAATCAGTCAAAAAATAAATAGACTACTGGAATTTACTGTGAAAATCTCACTACCAACATTGCTAGTGCAAAGGTGCTATCTACTCTAGGCCTGTGGTAATTATCCCATTATATTCCTGAAGGTATTTACTAGCTTAGTGCAATGGGTATCCCCAGCATTTTGATATTGTGCATCTTTTGCTGCTGTTTTTGAAACTGGGATTATCACAGGCATCACTACTTGCCAATTCTTCCTCTATTAGGAGTTACACTGCTATAATGTAATTGTAATGCAAGGGGAACATGCGTTACTAGACCTCAAATGCCTAAGTGCAGTTAGCTAATTAAAATGATCTTTATTTGCACAGGCAAAAGTGGTTTGTAGCCTCGAATTTGGAAAAACCTGCCATGAACACGTCTTTTTTCTAGAGTTTCTCTGACCACTGTGTGAGGGGCCATAATAGTTCCCTTCATAGTGACAGTCTGAATTATCAATCACTGCAAAGGGTCCTTTGTTATTTCTGAGATTTGGCAATAATCGAATGAATAGTGCAAAGGAAACATGAAACAAAATATGTCGGAAGTAAAGTTCTGTATTATTTCATTTTTGGTCTTTCACAGCTATAAAGTTGCTTGGGCAGTTGCTGTTTCCACAGGGTACTCTTTTTGTTCAGTGAAAATGCATTATATTATATGCACAAACTCCTGTGACATCATAAGAAAATAATCATTTAAACCATACTTCAAACTATTTTCCCCTCTGGTTGGAGGAAGAAGTTTGGGTTTTTTATTATTATTATTCTATTATTTATTTATTTATTCTCATACTCATGTGCTTCTCCACTTCCTGCTATACTCTGTAAGTGGAAGTGCCAAAATATCACAAGACTATTCCTGCATATTTTAAGTACCGTAGAAGCAGGACGTATTCCATAATGGTATAAGAATAATAATTTATACTCACTGTATAGCTCTGGCAACTGTTTATCATAACAATTGCTGTTTATCCCCTCTGAAGCTTACTGAAAAGTCACACAGACACAATCCAGAGAAAAAACTGGTATATCTTTGTCCCATTGAAATAAAATGAACTGATGATACACATAAGTGTAGTGTTCAGTGTCCCTGACTTTCTCTAGATTATGCCCTATCAATAAAGTTCTGTGACTATATAACTTCATCCTGATCCGTACTCCTCATTCGAACTGAGCAAGTAAAGATTTTGTTTGATATTACTTCCCATCATAATTTCCCTGAAGCTTACTAAATATGAGATAGGGGAAAACATCTCCATAAAGTACCCGTGCATTATTTCTCTTGCTATTATTTCATTATTTGGCTTGACCTGAATGATTATCTTTTTTTTATTCTTCATTTGATGCACCTCCTGCCTTATTTTGGGACATCTTCCGTAAAACTTCACTATCAGGCGTTCAAGGGAGTACAGTGTACAATTAGCTCTCTGTATCCACGGATTCTTTATCCACAGATTTAATCATCCACGGCTTGAAAATATTCAAAATAAAAATCTATAAATCCAAAAAGTAAACCTTGGTTTTGCCATTTTATATAAGGGGCACCATTTTACTATCCGTTGTATGTACTGGGACTTGAACATCCATGGATTTTGGTATCCAAAGGGGGTCCTGGAACCAAACCCCGCCAGATACCAAGGGCCCACTGTATATCCAGAAGCTTCTCTTTGGATCCTATAAATGCAAGACCATTTTCTAATTGCCCATGAGGCTGTGGACAGCGTTTGTAACAGTTTTCTTTAGAATATTTCTCTACTTTTGTTAATTTGCATGCCAATGAAATAAAGCACTTCCTACCGGTAATTAGTTGCACCCCTGAATTTAAGAAAGTGAAAAGGCTATAGAGCATTATGGCAGGAGGATGGTACCAAAGAAGTGGCAGAAAGGAATCACTCCCCTTGCACTCTGAAAGTGCTTTTGATTTAGAGTTTTCGGCTGTCAACATTTTACCAGCGTCTGTGACAGGGATTAGCTGTTTTTCCTGGTCCAATAAGTTTCCCTTTAATGAGTGCTTTCGTTACTTTGTTCATGGCAAATCACCAGAGCTGTCCTAGATCCAGCCATGCTACTCTGGAGGTGGGTGTTCTCCCTTCAAGAATAACAGTAGTAGAAGGGAAATGAGGGAGACTAGAGTATAGGAATTAAATTATTTCTTGGCTGAACGCATCATTTCAGCCACAAAAAGACGCTCAGAAAAACGTAAGGCTGCAGACTCTTAAAAGATCTATGCTATGAAGGGCCATGCCGACAAGTCTCTCTCACGTTGGTTCTAAAACTGTCTTCTTTCTGAGTCTTCCCTGCCTAATGATTTCTCCTAATTTCCCCTCGATATACCATGTATTTTTATTTATTAATTTCATTCCTTCAGTGTGCTCAGCACCTTGTGTTGTCTTCACAACAACCTTGTAAGGTAGGCCAGGCTGAGATAGAATGATTGATTCAAGATCAACCAGTGAGTTTCATGTTTTTCTGGGGATTTGAACCCGGATCTTCCGTACTCCAGTTCCAACACTTACAATTAAACAACGTTGCCCATACCATTTCTCTCTTAAAGTCATTGGCTGATGTGCTTTGATCAACAGTAGGTCTATGTTGGAAATATGTTGGAAATAAATAAATATGTTGGCAAGGGAGTTAGGGCCATTTTAGCCAGCATTTCTCTGGTTGCTCTAGGATCACGGAGTTTGGTCCTGTTGAGATATGCTTTAAGGACTATAGGAAAACAGACTGAGGAGTGTTCTGTGGCCTAATCTGCATTGCAGAAATAACCCAGTTTGACACTGCTTTAGCTGTCACTGCACCATCGAATCAAGTCCTGAGATTTGTAGTTTGCTGTGCCAGAGAAGGCTAAATATCTCACAAAAGTACAAATTCCAATATAGTATTATAGCAATAACATTTATATTTCTATAACGCTTAATAATGAACTAAGCACTCTCTAAGCAGTTTACAATGTGTGAGCCGATTGCCCCCAACAAGCTGGATATTCATTTTACTGACCCACGAAAGGATGGAAGGCTAAGTCAACCCGGAGCCCTGTGGAATCGAACTCACAACGTTGTGGCTGCAGTACTGGCATATAACCAGTAGATTTCAAGGATCTGTAGCCATGCTGGCGAACCTGTGGCACGCGTGCCAGAGAGGGCACGCCGTCACCCCTCTCATGGCAGAGGCCAGGAGGAGCGACAGAGAAGGAGGGCTCCATTTCTCCACCCCTCCCATCCTGGAAAGCTGGGAGAATTTCCTTGTTTATTTAAAAAAAACAAAACAGGCTAATAACTT